GAGGCGGAAGGATCACCAGAGCCCAGCAGGTCAAGGCTGCGGTGGCCGGGAGCGGCCACTGCACTCCAGTCTGGGCGACAGAGTGAGACTCCAACTCAAAAAATTAAAAAATTAAAAAATTAAAAATAAAAAAAAGAAGTGACTAAGTGTATCAGTGGTCTTCCCAGCATCCAGAAACTACTGCATACAATGGAACCATACAATCCCACCACAGTAATTTGTTAAAAGTATTTACTAGCCAACAAATACCATTTTTAACACTCCTTTTCTCTAGGAGCAAAGATGCTTAAGGAAAGAGATTTTCAAGTTAACCTTATCCTAAAAACTCTATTTTTTTTTAACACATGACTGTCAAAGAAATTTTTCCAAATATACCTCTCTGCGTTTATGTAACACTGATTCCTACAATGTATGAAGCCAGCTGTGTCCCAAGCACTGGACTGGGAGTTCTGCACAACTTAATCCTTACACAAACTTATAATTTGAGTATTATCTCCCTTTTTCCAAACGCTAAAATTATGGCCCAATAAGTTACCTTCTGTGATGCCTGTAATTGAGAAAGCAAAGATTTCAATCCAGATACGCCTGACTCTAGAATCTTCTCACATCGTGCACACCTGAGTATACCCTACTCTAGAGAAGTCTGCTTTCTAATAGGATAGGATATCATAAGTTCCATATGACAGTTAAAGAGACGTGTGAAATTTCTCAAGAGAAAGAGATCGCTTCCAGCTGAAGGAAAACACATCAAGGAAGGCTGCATGGAGGAGGTGGGATTTAAAGTGGACCAAGAAGTTAGAGTGTAGAGAGGCTGACATGGAAGAGGCCACAACCTGAAAAAAGGTTTGGAGGCAGGACAGTGAAAGTCACATGTGGAAAATGGCAGGGGCTTTCTGAGTTGTGTTTGGCTCCAGTCTACCCTGTGGGTGTGCGTTTGTATGTGTGTGAGAAGGGAAGATGTGGAACGGCCACGGAAACCATCTCTAGTGGCATCCTAGCGGCATCTCCTCGTGTGCAGGCTGCCCGCTAACATGCAGTGAACTGTAGCCAACCTGGTCCAGATCAGGAATAGCTGAAGACCGATGGCAGTTTGGGGACCCAGCCATTCTGCATGGCAGGCTCCTCCAAGAAAATTGCCCGAAACCAGGGAAGGAGACACTCCCAGGAAGAACCCACTGTGTCAGCACCCAGCCCATGACAAGAAAAGGTCCCATTTTAGACAAAATTCTTCTGCTAGCCTAGTTGTTCCTTCACAGGTCTCTAACAACATTGGCTAACAGGTGGGTAGAGATGAGACAGGCCATGCACCAAACCTTGCAAAATTAGTCATTTGAGCGGAAGCTTTTTAAAATGCAAAAGACAGTTCATATTTTACAAAACAGTAAGTGCAGAAAGTCCAACAGTTCTCTAAAAAAGAAGAATGCACAAAGAAGCTGGTGGTAACTAGAAATAATAGCAAGTGGGCTCTTTTAAAGTACTGAATCTTTTTTCCTGCCTATTGAATCATGAGGGTAACAAAAATTAAGATTTTTTTTTTTTTAAGAGACAGTGAAAGAGTAAGTTGGGAGAGTGATGAACAGTACATCTTCACACCCAGCTGACATTCATCTAAGGCTTCTAAAAGAAATATGAAGTGTAAAATGGAGTAGACTCATCTATCTTCATTTTTGTGGCAACGATCAACTTGGGCATTGTGTCAGGAATATTAAACTTAAAAATGAGCTACCATGAGAAACACTGTGCTGGTGAGACTAGGCATTCTGTCTGAGAAATGAGCAATCGTTCTTGTAAATTGAACACTTGCCAGCGAGGGAACTATCTTTGAAAATAGATCAGAGAGTCAACCCATCAGTTTGTCTGACTGCTGTAACGGGAAAACTGATTGAGAGTCTCATTAAGCAGAAGCCACAAAGCACTTTCTGAAGTCCCAGCTCCAAAGTACCAAAGAATCTTCTTATCTTCCGGTGACCCCCGCCCCCCCCCGCCAGGGCTCCAGAGGGAATGCTCCAGGATCACACATGTATGGTTTCAGGAATCTTTAATTGTAACAATGTCATTTATGGAGAGCAGGTTATATTCCAGATATTGTAATGAAAAATCAATGAGCATTTTTATATTTAATTTGCATGACTACCTGAAAATAATATATTTTTTCTTCTTTTATTGAAAAGTAAGGCTCAAAAAGACTAAGTAACCTGCCCAAGGATGCTCAGCTAGACAGAGGTGAATCTGTGGTACAAACCAAAATTCCTGTAGCTCCAGGGATCACTCTCTAGATTGTTGTGAAGCAGCACCAGTCCCAGAGCCTTAAAAACGCTCTCTAGGGTCGGTGTGGGAATTAGTTCAGATTTTTCAGGACAGGTCTGTTCAAAGCAGCTGTCCATGAAGCCAACTTAGAATAGAATAGGGACTTTTCACAGCCACTCAAACCCTATCCAATTTCTGTGTTTTAGACCAAGACCATCACACATATAGAGACATTTGCACACATATTTTTAGAATCATATTTGCATATAAATCACCTTGAGGAGTCCAAAGAAGATTAATATTTTTCTGACATCCCTTGAAAATTTAGTCATTTAAATACTTGTGTATTTTTGCTCTAGCATTACAAAACCACTTTGCCGTCTCTAGAAAAAAACACCACCTATTTCACTGTCTGAACTTTTAAGATTTTTCTGTTTAGGAATTGACATTTTTTGTGTGTTCTTACATCCCAATAAGGCCATGGCCCACATGAAATCTACCATTAATTGGACCCATATCTAAAAGCATGGCTTTTTTTAAAAAACCAGAATTTCATGTAGATATAAAGAAGATAGAATTTTGCTTATTATTTTTAATTGCCAGCACTTCTGAATCATTTATCTTTAAGGTGGAGGGTGTAGTTGTGAACTCACAAGTAAGCTTTTAAATACAAAATGTCAAAGTCTTGCCACAATCTAGAGATTCTCCAAAATGTATCCCAGATCTGCATTTTTTTTCCTGTGTGGGACACATTAATAAAGAAAAATGGTCTTTTCTGAAAATGAACTGCTAAAATCTGCAGGGTGGCTGCATCTTAGTGAAGGCTAAACTGTAAAACCGTTTTCATGTCATATAACTGCCATGTGGAAAGGAGAATTAACAGGAAGCAACTAACATTAAGCACACACAGGAATTAAGTAGAGGGTGAATCTCAAATGTATACTTGTTTTAAGTTAAATTATCCACAGAATTATTAAATAAATGACAGCTAGAAAAGGATTCACATGGACAATTGAAAATAACTGTTGGACTTATATGTACCATAATTTTGGATCAAACCAAGAAGTGTAGCAAGCCATACTCATAAAAATCATTTTTCTCCATCTGTTCTGTTATTGAATTATGTATGCAATACTTGCGAATAATCTTGTGTCTCTTTCTGACATGTTAATGCTTACTTTATCTTAATATGCTCATAAATACCAACATGGCAATGAAGAAACTTGGAGGAGATAAGAGTGGCTTCCAAAACAGAATAGTGAACACAGACTAGTGAGCAAATGCATACATTTTATGGGGGGCATAAGTTTTATCAATTGCATCAAGAAATTCAAGAAAGAAGGTTGGCAAGCAAGAAATGAACACCCATTTGGGGAGGCTGTGTAGCATAATAACAAAGTGTGTGGACTTGGTGTCATATAGACCTGAGTTTTGAATTCTGGCCCCACTAGAGTATAATTTTTCTAACCTCTTAAAATGGTTTCTCACCTTCAAAATGTGGCTTATAATTGCCTCTGTATTTAATAATTGCCTCTATATTTGCTATGTGAATTAGCTTTAAGGTTTTTTGTTTGTTTGCTTGCTTGTTTTGTTTTGTTTTGTTTGAGTTGGAGTCTCACTCTGTGGCCCAGGTGGGAGGGTAGTGGCACACTCACGGCCATCCCAGCATCAACCTGCTGGGCTCCGGCGATCCTTCCGCCTCAGTCTTCCAAGAAACCGGAACTACTATTTTTTTTTAACTGTGGAGATGAGGTCTTGCCAAGTTGCCCAGGCTGATCTCAAACCCATGGGCTCAGGCAATCAACTTGCCTCAGCCTCCCAAAGTTCTGGGATTACAGGCTGAGCCACCGAGCCTGGCCAAGATGTATCATCTTAAAAAGCATTGAGTACTGCCTCAGAGCAAGCACTCAATATATAATAGCCATTAATATTGCTTAATGGTCTTCATGAATCAAAGAATCCTAAATTTCCATTAAGATCCCACTGTTCTTTACTACTTTTAACAGTATTTACTAATTACTTAATTTTACCTAATTACTTATTTTTTATGGAAAAGTGTTTGTTTTTTTTCACTTCTAAATGAGAAAGTAATGTAATATTTAAACATGAAAAATACAAATTTAGACACCATCTTTAAAAGTGAAAACATTCTTTCTTAATATTCATCTGCAGTGTAGTCAGCATTTAAGAAATGGTAAGATTATTACCTATTGACTAGATTATATCAAACCAAAAACCATTCCTATATTGCTTTAAAAATTTCTTTTTGCTTGAAAATATCCTGTACATGTTCTCTTTATAACTCCGACTATTCCCTTTACCATGCAACCTGTAACTTTTATTGATAAAGTCATGGAAGTCAGTTTTAAGGGGTACCAGCGTACCTCACCAGAAGATAATCAATATGAAATGACACTGCATTCATACATGAAATCCCGTATTCCTTTTGGAGTCACCCATTCCCGATGTCTCAGCTATTCCACTGTTGCAAATTGCAAATTTGCCAAATATGTGACAAAGCAGTGTTCCTAACACCAGGAGCATTTAAGAAAGCCCCCAATCACTTTTTTATAATGTGCTTTTTAAATGTGTTTGCTTACTTACTTACACCCTTCCTATGCTCTAGGAAGAACTAGTAAAAGCTCTTAAAATATGTTTCAAGCATTGTCTCTGTTTGGCAGGTTGGTTACTGGAATGATATGGATAAATTAGTCCTGATTCAAGACGTACCCACTCTTGGCAATGACACAGCAGCTATTGAAAACAGAACAGTGGTTGTAACCACAATTATGGTAAGTGTTGGTCTATGCTTTATGGTGTTTCGTTTTGTCCACAGGCCATTTTAACTCCCCGGCTATGGTGAACAGGGAGGGTAAAAGCTGAATCTTAGCAGTGGTGACATGGGTGTTCTGATCTACAAAAGTATATTGAGGCTTTGAATAGGTTTGGCCTGAGCTTTGAGTACATTCAGTACTTTTATTTGTATTATCTTTTGTTGCATTGTTGTCCTTAGAAAAATGCTCAGATATTTAAAATCGAGACTGTCAAACTCTAGTTGGAAATGTATGAATGCTAAGATCCCAAAACACAAAACAGTGAACATAACAAAGGTCAACAGCCAATCACATAAAAATATCTCATAGTAAACATATTACTATTGTTATTATGTTTTCAAAAACATGAATGTAAAAATAGTTAATAGTGTTTAAAATTATAATTTTCAAGGAAGTTTAATCATTGGATAATGATCTGCCTTGTCTGTTTATATAATGGAGATATAAATGTAAAGATTTTAATGAGCATGTTTTATATAAGTAAATGCTTTAGAAATAAATTTTGTTTTATTTTCATTTTCAATGTGACAGGATTTTTTTTTGCACCGATTATTTTTCTCATTGACCAGTGAGAAATACACAATATAATTTATTGAACTTCTAGGAATTAAGAAAAAATACAGTTGCTTCATTCATTCAGATCATGAAATGAAAAACACTCTAAATTTTAAAACTGCTTTTTCAAAGAGATTTTCATGAAATTAACTTTTAAATAATAAAATATGTTATATATTTTTCTCTTCTTAAGTTAAACATGCCCTTTAAAATCAGTGCTAGTCAAAGGAGATCAACAATCGGTGGCTTTTTCTATCTAATTTAAAGTTATATACCTTCAACTCACTGTCTCTTTAAGCAAAACATACTTTATATTATTTACAGAAACCCTTACTCTAAATAAAATGAGAATATTTGTGTAATTTAGTTTTTAGCTCATGTCATTTTTGTTTTAGGTTTTTAGTAATGTCAAGTTGTTTCTGAAACTGGCATTGAGGTCAAAGCATGAAAATGCCATAAAGAAACTTTCGTATGTTGCAATTAGTTTTATCTGTGTTACATCACCAGATAGCAGTTTAATGTAATCTGAAAAGCCTTGATTAGAAGTTTATGATTTTAGAATGAAAAGCAACCCACAGCAGTTTTTGTGTCAACCTTCTACTTAATTGTGTAATATTTGCATGGGACTTGAAAAGCAATATATATATATATTTCTTTTCCTAAAAAAGACACAGTAATGGAAAGTCATACTTCAGTACAGTCCTCCTCTTTTCAGCCTCTGATGAAGAATCCTATTTTAAGAAATTGATCAAGAAAGAAAAGAGTTCCACGCTGTTCGACCATTCCTTACTAAGGCTCACGTCTTGTTCTCCACTGTAGTAAATTTAAACTTATTTTTCATGTGGGAATTCTTCTTGGATGACCAAGTCTGGACTACCAGAAAATAACATTTTTTTAAAGTTCTGTGACTTTTCTGAGACACTAGGACAAAAGAAGAATTAATCCTCATCTTTCTCAAGAAAATAAATAGATGTTGAAAAAGAATCACTTAGCAGTTCTGACATATCAATTCCCATATCTCGAAATGGGGTCACTGTACGTAAATGATGGAATAATATCAGAATTATATCACTCCGTTTCCAAGGGTAGATTTTCTATAAGTAAATATCTCTGAATTTGTGTGTTTGTTTTCTGAATATATATGGTTGTTTTCTTTAAAGATTTTTTGGAATTTTGCCTGTTCTGTGTGAAATAAAGTGTTTTAATGTGCATTATAGGTGTAATGTAGAGAGTATCCTTTCCATCCCTGTCATTAAAAGGGCTGGACACATCATTCTTAACACTACCAAAATACTGAATTAATTTTGCAGGCATGGCTAGTTTTCAAGAAGCATGCTATCAAAAAAAATAAGCAAAAGTGACTGAAAAAAAATCCAACTGTTTCCTATATATATAGACAATATTCTGTAAAGTTATCTGTTGTTTGAAAGTGATGCCATCAATATTTTTGCTATCAAATTAATGCAATACCAATATCTGTCTTTTTGTATGAAAATGTAACATTTATATAAATAATACCTCTGGTATTTGCAACTGCATAATCATTCAGTAATTCAAAAAGACATACCAGAATCCTTTCCTGAGCATGTTCTTTGTATTTGTTTTGTTGGAAATGATAGCCCGGGACCTATAACATCCCCACCACCTAATTAATTTGGAAAGAAATCCAATTCCTCGTAGATAAATTAGATGTTGGCATCTGCATGTAATAATCCCCAAATTCTACTGAAAACTCCAGGCACAGATGGAGTTGACTAGACATTTTAATATGTGCAATACAGATATCTAGATACAGAAGAAAGCTGAAAGTGAGCACTGGAATTCATTCATTTTGACTGAAATTGATATGGTGTTGCTGTTCTTCCATTTGTCTTTCCTTTGTGTATGTTGTTATTTACATGTTGATACACTGTAATGATCTATGCTATTGTTAAATAAAATCGATTGAGAAATTCAGTTACTCACAAATATTTATTGAGCGTCCACTATGTACTAGGCACAGTTATAGACCCTGGGGATATATCAGAGAACAAAACAAAAAGGAAATTGTGCACTCAGTGGAACTTACAGTCTACTGAGAGAAAGTAGACAAGAAGCATAATTAATAATTGTATTAGCTACCTTTCTTAAATAAAATGTGGTCGTTTTTCTATATTGAAACTTTTACAGTAGTGTTGCATATCTATAATATGATCATCTTAATAATAAATTGGTTCTACCTAACTATAATCATACTGAATATAACAGCTAAATCTAAATTTAAAAATAATATGGACAATATTATAAATTTTTATCTTTAAGTCTTGTTGGCTAAAAATTGGATAAAATCTGTATAAAAGTCCAAAGCCTAAAACAAACGTATTGATGTAACTTTTTGAATTCAAAGTAACAATTTCTGTAAACAATAAAGGGAAGCCAAATCTGTGTCATGTAGTTTAGACATATACAGCAATTGAGGACAAAACAGTTTCCAGTAAACCTTGAGAGAGGAGAGGGTGGTGTTTTCCTCTGCAATCTTTTTCCTCTAAACTTTCTGGAAAAGGAGAGATAATACAAAGATGTTTCAGGCAAGCCTCTTTTCTTCTGAACCATTTCTATGAAAGTTAAATGATGCTTACTCAACTATGAAGATATTTCTTACCATCTTATGAACATAACAGACCTTTAATTTTTTTTCCATAAAACTAAATTTACTCAATAGAGCATCAGAATTATATAATAAAAACTAGAAGCAATTTTATTGATCACACTTGACCTTCCCAGAGGTTACATTTAGTACTTTTTTTTTGGTAAACACAAGCTCTTACTTAGTTATTCAAGGTCTTGAACTACCAGCCTCAAGAGATTCTCCCTCTTTGGCCTCCCAAAGTGCTGTGATTACAGGCATAAACCACCATACCCAGCCACGTTTTATATGTTTTATGAAACATTTGATACTTTATCTTCTTTATGTAAAACTTTATAGATGGATTACACATATATACATGATATATAAAAACATACACATGCATATTTATACAAAATATATTTTGCATTTCTGTGTATATGTGCATATATAGAGAAAATAAAAATGTATTTATTTTCTTCCTTGTGCCAAATACTCCTTTTCTTTCTCACATACACCTCTCACTGAAAGGCTTATAATTTAATAAGCTTTTAAATAAATTTTTTAGCCAAACCTAAAATTTTGCAGTCTTTAAATTTACTCATTTTTTTTCTGAATTAAATAATATCTTAATCTCCACTTTAAAAAAATTTATCCGTGGGATAAATTATCTCGATCCATTAAAATTCTTTAAAGAAAAGCAAATATCCACACAGAAAAACATTAGTTGATATTGATTGTATTATCTTTAACAGTTCTCAATAGTAATTATAATAAATATATTTGTGATGTTTACAAAATTTTGAAACATTTCTAACAAGCATCTTGTTTCAAAGGTTTCACTTTTGCTAAATACAAGTAATCTAAAAAAAAAATGTCCTTGGTAGGAAAATTATACTTTATTGATTGAAAGTCATTTTAATTCATTTACACAAACATTTTGATAAGATAGCAGCTTTAGACAGAGAATGGTTTCTTTTCTGAAATAGCAGAGCAGATGTAGAACATCAGCCATTATGAAAATTGTCTTAATAAGCTCATAATCACTAAGAAAAAAATGCATTTAAATAACTTCTAAGAGGTTATTGTCCTGCAGAGCACAGCAGTTGATAATGAAAGATGGCAGGTTATATTCTTAAGGCAGAAGTAAAAGTTTGTATTTCACCCCTATGATTCTTCCATTTTTATTCACAACTGAACACTTGAGACTTCACAAGTCTGCTTTGCAAAGACGTCCCATAGTCCCCCTGAATGATTTGCTAGAATGTATTCTTTCTGTTGAAAAGACTTGGCATTTTCTTCCCCCAAAGTAGCCTCCAGACTCTGTAGTATCTACTCAGGGTGCAGTGTCTGAAGAGCTACTTGCAAACAACTTGTCAGATTGAAGAGGAGGAAACGAGGGGGTCAGAAAAGGGTTGAATACTTGCAACTGTTTTGGATTTGACATGAAAGAAAAGGAAAATGCGGCACAGAATTTAAGTAGAGCTGAGCCACCATGGGAGCCTTTGTTCAAGAAGAGTCCAGCCTTCCTCTCCCTTCGTCCTTCCTACCTCCCTGGGTGCGATCCCGTCACTTCTCTTTTGCTGCATGCCTCACTCCTCCTGAACCTCAGTCGCTGTTCATGTCCCTGAATGTGCAAAAGTTCTCGCTAAATTTTAATCCACATCACCAGTAACCTGAAGGTTTTTCTAGCCTTTGTTGGTTTGCTTGGCAGGAAAACAAAGACCAGATGGACCCCTGCTGTCCAAAAGGAAAAGTGAAAAAAGTAAAGAAGGCATTAAATACATGTTTTACTCATAAATTATCTTGACTAAACTTAAAATTTTGCAGTCATTAAATTTACTCATTTTTCTGAATTGAATAATAACATCTTAATGTCCACTTTTAAGAATATGATCCATGGGATAAACCCATTAAGATTCACATGCCGGCTTCAGAAGAGATAACCCAGAACCTGTTAATATTTACTTTCCCTTAGAAGATCTGAATCAGAAGTTCCCATAGAATTACTTTGCAATGATACTTCTATTTAGAAGGCACTGATAGACCAGGATATCTTTATATGTATTTAGTACCTTCCATGTGCCACAAATTACGAGGAGAAATGGAGAGATTTTTATCTACATTCACTAAAAATGCTGAAATGTACTTCTTGAGGCTTGTTTTTTCTCTTGTTAAATCATATGAAATCTCAATTAGCTGCACATATTTTTGATGAATGTAATGATAACTTCAAAATTTTCCAAGTATTTCAAAAGGTAGGCTTAACTCCTGCCTCTGTCAAATGTATGCTATGTGAAATTGAACAACTGACTTAACCTCCCTGAGTTTCATTTTCCCATGTGCAAAATGTGGAATGCCTAACTCAAAGTGTCAGGGTGAAAAGTCAATGAAATGGCACAAAGCGCTTAGCATTGTACCTGAGACAGAAGAAGCACTAAATACGTAAGAGCTACTAATATTTTTACTGCTATATTTTGTTGTCTCCCATACCTTACACTCTTTTTCCCTTATTACAAATAATATACGGTGATTTTTGATCACAAGGGAACAAGGAATATATTTTGGTTTTTTGTCTCCTTACCTCCCAGCAAACTACCTGGCACACAGTGAGTGCTTAGTAAATATTTGATTAAATAATAAGCACGCAGCTTTTATTGAAGCAGATTGTTCACTATACTGTACAATGTAGAAGGAATTTAGCACGTTAGATTCTTATACAGTCTAGAGAAACTTCCACGCAGAAGCTAATACAGTACTATATGTACTTGAGTGCTAAAATTCACGTATGCAAATATTCCAGATGTCTTAGAATTGACTTCCAACCTTAGTACCAAAAAGGAGTCTTATCTAAACTTCTTTAGAGAAACTCTTTATACTTATAGATGATAACCATACAGCCATTTCATTAGAATGATATACATTTTACAAATACATAAAAAGCTCTTGCTCTTTTTGACATAGTCTTCCATATGTTAAGGAGTATTGTAAAAAAAGAAAATGAAAAAAATTAACACATAACTATAAATATTTTAAAAATTAATAATGCTTTGAACAATTAACACATTTTATAACCACATTTATAATTTGCTAAACCCTTTATATTTGCACAATGTTTTCTGTGAACTAATAAATACTCTTCAACTCTCTAAAGAAGAGGCAACTAGTTTCCTTAATTTTATGAGGGGAGGGACTTTCTTTACCCAATTCCAGGGTTAAAATAGTCATCAAATTCAGAAACGTGGGAGACTTTTGGGTCACTTGGCTGTGCCAACCTAAGGCAGATTTTAAAAACAGTACAAGAGCTAATCCTAGACAATTGTCCACTGTAGAATTATTTACAGTGCGTGTCGGAGAAAATATAAAATCATGTGATTTATTCTTTAACTTAATTATTATTAAATTTTTAAAAAGAGTTTCTGCATTTACAAAGTACTTAAAAACAGAATTAGTGTAGACTATGTGACTTATGCAACTAAATCACCTTGCAATCACCTTGCAAGCTGCAAGAACAAGTTCAACTTCTCCAATTACAAATTTGCTGAGGAAATAGAAAACATTTTTATGAGAGATGACTAAACAAATGTTGCAGTACAATTTTATAAAATATAAATTCATGATCTCAGTAATGTTGTAGCCAAAAGTGATCACTCCTTGTCTACAAATGACTGGGAAAGTTGAGATGTGGCCAGGAGTTCTCTGCCTATTGTGTTCACCAGGTCTATCTTTTGCTTGGTGGTTTTAGGTGCCATTCATAAAATCAAATGTTTTTGTTTTTTGATTTTTTTTTTTCTGACATGTCTGTTTACTTCGTGCCTTTAAATTTGGTTCGAGGGATGTGTGCATGTGTGTGTGTGTAGGTGTGTATGCGTTTAACTGAAAATTATCCAGTAATTATGAGCCACTGAAAAACTTTTTCCTTTTATAAAGAGTTTCACAATAATTCTTCACTCTGTTTTCTGTCTCACTTGCTTAGAAAACTCAGTGAGAATATACCATGCAATGTATGCTTATCACAACCAGAGGAAAATCATTAGCTTCCATTCAGGACATATTTTATAATGCAATTGAAATTTATGGAACACAAGCCATATCTAAAGTTAAAATATTAGACAACATTAGGAAAGCAAGTTTAATGCAGATAACTAACTCTATAAGAATTTTAAAGCTATTCATTCTTTTTTTAAAGCTTTTGTGTAGCTTTGTCTGCTCTGAGATAGATATCTTGCTAAACACTTGAGATCAAAGAAAAATGACACAGTCCTTTTCCTGAAGGAAGTCACAGTTGGATGTCACTAAACAAGATGCAGTAGATAGAGACCTGTGACCTTGAATGACTCTTTCATTACGTGAAGTTGACTACAAAATAGTCTTTCATTACATGAGATATTTTGATGCTTCTCTAAACAAGTATTAACAAACATTTCCTATCACAGTCATAGTGCAAGGTGTGTAGTACACCACTCGGTAGAAAATTACAGGTTTTACTTTTAGCATCCAATGGAGAGCAGTTTATTATCTTCTCAGTGTATTTATATATTTATCTGTTTTATTATCGATTTCTAGCTACACAAAATCAGAATGTGTGCCAATACTAAATATTCTTTTTTAAAGAAAGTTGAATTCTGAAACTGGGAAGTTACATAGGGTTTTTCAAGTGTTTTATATAATTTCTCCTTTACAGTTCTACTTCTCTCATTATAGGAATCCCCATATGTTATGTACAAGAAAAATCACGAAATGTTTGAAGGAAATGACAAGTATGAAGGATACTGTGTAGATTTGGCATCTGAAATTGCAAAACACATTGGTATCAAGTATAAAATTGCCATTGTCCCTGACGGAAAGTATGGAGCAAGGGATGCAGACACAAAAATCTGGAATGGGATGGTAGGAGAACTTGTGTATGGGGTAAGCAAATCGATTTATTGAAGAATTTACTTGTATAAACCTGAAACTTCTTTTCCCTTGGGTACATATCAAGGGTTCAACATCTATTCCTTAAAAAAAAAAAAACTTAACAACTATGTCCCCAAAAGCATACGCAGTGTTCAAGTCTCTCTCTATTTCATTAATAATGCAGTTCCTGAACAATAAGAGAAACTGACATTTGATAACTACCAAATCAGGAAGGGAATAAAATATACAATAAGTTGTTCTGTTTTTTAAAGATTGACTTCAGGATCTGTGGTGACTGGTGACAGTTTTCTTAAGCTTGATGCTGCTGTGTGGTAGAACTACAAAACAAATTCATTAGTCATCTGTTACTTAATAATTGTAGGAACAGATCCTCTTCAGCAGTATAAAGTTGGACGTTATTTTAGCTAGTTACTTATGTATCTGTTGTTTGTAATTGTTCGTAAGTATCCTTTAAGTAATTAGGGAAGCAATCGCTACACTACTTTAGCTTTTATAAAATATTCGTCAGTAATGTGAGGGTCTTACAATTCTGCTGAACACAGTCAATTTGAACTTTATGCAATGCCATTGTCTTTTCATGCTAGCATAAATGGCAAAAGACAAAACTGGAATTTATTCCTAAGTGGGCCTCCCATGAAAGCATGTCATACCCTTCCCTTGAGTGTACCAGATATTGAATGTACACATTCGTGGCCAAAGGCAAACACAGCATAGCAGTTTCCTGCCTGAATCAGAACGAGACCAAGACTGGTGTCTTCGGCTACCACTGCAAAATGTCAAAATCAAATATAGGTTTACCACAGGTCAGTGATGGCATGATATTTCAAAAGCCCAGAAACCAGCCCTATAGCTCATAGTAATCTCTGTTCATTGAGTAACCAATAAATGTAGCACACTGAAATATATTCTGAAATCTCCTGAAAGTCAATTTGTTTCATATGCTTCACCTTCAAAACATACTCTAATTAGTCCTCACTAGACACCTTTGAATGAAGAATTACATGGGGAGTCATCTGTCTTCAGAAGAGAGTAAGAACAGAAAACTTGAGAACATAATGGAAGTCCATTGAGGGATTCACTTTCTGAGCCAGAACTGCAATACGATGCTTTCATGATTTCACAAAAATCTTGCTTTTTAGACTATGAAGCAATGAACATTCTTCACAAAGTGCAGTACAGTAGCTAAAACCTCAGCAGAAAGAGAAAACTATTTGACAGTATAAAGCAATTGGTTAGTTTTATATCCATGGGAGAAAATTGCTGACTGCTTAGATGACCCTAAAAGAGAAAAAAAAATGCAGTTTAAAAAATAGCAAAACATATTTCACCGCAGGGTTCATTGACAGTTTTATATTGAGCTTTAAATTCCAACGAAAGGAGGTCTGTAAAGCATTTGTTCTTTGGTTAATATTTTACACTTTGATACAGTAAGCACATTTTAGACATGAACATTATCCAAATTGTTAGAACTACAGTAATTCATTCCCTTCAGAAAACACTCTTAAGTATTTCATCTCAAAAAGCTATACTTAGATTGCCAATTCGTTGTGGATGCATTAATTATGAACCTGAGTTACTTTCTGAGGCATTTATCACACATTTCCTCCATAGTCTCTACCCACTGGGCAGCACAGGCTCACCCATCTGCAAGTGTTCTGACCATGTTTTATTCGAGAGAAGTTATTTAAGTAATGGAAATAAATGACATGAAAAGAGTAGCATAATTAACCCAAAAAAATCCATAATGTACATGTCACATTAACAAAAAGCCCCACTGGGCATGATGGCTCACACCTGTAATCCCAGCACTTTGGGAGGCTGAAGCTAGAGGATCGCCTGAGCCCAGGGATTTGAGACCAGTCTGGGCAACATGACAAGACCTCATTTCTACAATAAATCAAAAAATTAGCCAGGCATAGTGGCACTCACCTGTAGTTCCAGCTACTTGGAAGACTAAAGTGGAAGGATCACCTGAACCCAACAGGTTGAGGCAGCGGTGACTATGAGTGTGCCACTACACTCCAGCCTGGGTGACAGAGACTATAACTAAAAAAAAACTAAAAAACCCCAAAGTCATGTATGGTGGTTCTTCACATCATCATACTCATGCGTCAGGCAGTCTGCAAGTGCTTAAAAACCACCCTGTGGGGACCCAGAAGCACAAAACCTTTCTGATGCTTTCAGATCCTATTTGCTATAACACCTGTGCCCTGCTGCAAGTTCACCCTGATTTCCTGCAGCATGCTGCTTCAGGGCCTTCTCCTGAGCCTCACCATACTTGTGTGTGTATGTGTTTTAATCCAAGGGAATAGATCTCAAAGCACATCCCATGCCCACTAACATCAGAGTTTCCTGTGGTGTAAGCGAAAATGCTGACTCACTCGCTTCAATCCAAAGAGGCTTAAAATCCAAATCTCATCAAGCTCCTGTGGGAGGTATTTATGTACTTAATATTGAGAGTTGCTGAGAGGTAATGAAACAAGGCACATACAATATTCCCAATGTTAGCAGAGAAAGTCCATAAGTGCCCCTTCTCGTTACAGGTTTCTTTCTTGACTGTCACACGTCTCTGTCTTTTCAGAAGTCTCCCTCATCGAACATTGTTGTCAGCAGCTTCATCCAATGGTCCCCTCCTATTGCATCTAGTTTTTGTTCAAGGAACACTTTCATTTCTCTGTATGTGTCTTTCCTTTTAAGGCTTCTTCCCTCACTAGTGGTAACTTGTATAAGTAAACAATTTCATGGAACAATGTAGTACGTGAAAGGTAGCATTTCAAGTAAGTGAAAGGTGCATTCTTCACTTATTCCTGTTGAGACAGGAAGATTCTGTTAACGCGTCATCATGGAATAGACCAAATAAACTATAGAAGAATTATAGGTACAAGAACAAAATGTTTAATATTGTTATGAGGTGACTGAAAACACAAAAGATCATTTTTCTATGGCCACAACAGAACTTAAAACATATGTATTACAATAAAAGACCTTGAACTAAGTTAGGGAGACAAAACAATTGATGATTATGGACAATACTTGCAACATATATGGAAAATAAAGCTTATGTTTTTAATATATTTTAAGGTGCTCACAAATTAGTACATAAAAATGAATATTTGATATGGAATAATGGGAGTAGATTACAAGTAATACATAAAAGAAGTAAAAGTAGCTATTTGTTTTATAAAGGACACAAATTAATACAATGCGATTAACTTTCCATACAGAAAATTGGTGAAGATAAATAAGAATAAAGATAAACAGAGTTTTTCTGAGGTTTAAGGCTGACCATGGTCTTACAAGGTACTGGTGACAGTAGAAATCTGTATTATCTTTCTGGAGAAAAGGTGGGGAAATGATAAGCATTAAAATGTTACAATTTAAAACAGCAATTACATTTCTAAAAATTTACCTTAAATAATTATGATATATGTGAGGAATTGTCTTCAAATATGTTCACAGATGTGTTCAAAGATGTTGATAGCATCACTGTTTTAAATTTTGTAAAACTAAGGGCACAATATGAGTATCCCTTATAAAAACAAAATTTGTTGAGTAAATTTTGACATTTTACATGATAATATATTTGCAACCATTAAAACTTATTTATAATTTGTATTTTAAAATGGAAAAAAGTTCAGCATATTATTTTGAGAAAAGGAATTATAAAATATAATGTTCTGTATTGTTTCAATTTTTAAAAAAAAATTAAAAATACTATTCATAGAACAAAGCCTAGTAGAACATATAGAGAGAAAGAAACAAGATTAGATGATAGAAATAAAGATAGCATTTCCTGATAGCCTGGTTCTCTTTTTAATGTTCTAATTTTTCTATAGCTGGTTCATATATCACTTGTATAGTAAAAACTATATAAATAATAGCAATTATAGAGAAAATAGCAACCTCCAAGCATTGGCTCTGGCTCTTGCCTATGTGGGCCTCTACAGTGTCAGTGAAGTTTATTCCCACTTGAAGGAATATTCAGCCAATACTGTCACCCAAGGGAGAGTGTGACTGCGGGGACCTACCCCAGTCTGCCCTCTGCTTGTCCTTGTATGCAGCAGCTGTTTACAGCGTGGAACCAGGAGCCCGAGGATATACAGGAGTCAATGTAAGAGTGGCAGGCTGCATGCCTAAGCCTGTTTCTGACTCCATTTTGGTGTCAAGTATTTTCCTTTAAAAATAAGTAATAAAAACCCTTTTTCATTTGTAGACTGTGTGACCGTTTAGTTTTTACACCATACTTTATTTGATTTCAGAGGTGGTGTGATTTAATAGAACCAGCCTGGGTTCAAATCCCAGAGTGTGAAACCCTCTTCTCTGAGTCCCAGTTTCATCATCTGGACCACGAAAAACTTAAGATTTATATGAGAATTGAATGAGAGGTCATTTAAAATCTTTAGATAAACATCAGGTCAACACCAGCCACTGAATAACTCAGTTAATACTTATGTTATCTTATGGAGTTTTTTTTTATAAATAATCACAATAATACAATGAAGTAAATGAAGAGAAAAGTGTCCTTAATTTAGAAATACAGGCTCAGGAAAATTGCCGAAAAAAATCACAGGACTCTGACAATGGATGCTGGTGTCATATGATTACAATATGTGAGAATTAAACCTACTGTTTTCCAAAATCTTTTTTAAAAATGAAAGTGGAAAATCAAAAGATGTGAATCACAGGAAACAAATGCCAATTTCCAGATTTTTGTGTGTGTGCTGAATTGGAAAATATTGTCAAACAACGGGTTTTCTTTTATCATACAAACTCAGACTTTATGATCTGGTTTCTCATACCTGGAAAGGAATAAAAATGAAAGAAGTGAAATTTGCAATTCATAATATTAAGGGATGGCCAAGTAATGAATCAGTGGCAATGTTCCAAATGAAACAGAAAAGGCTGTAACACAGCAGCATTCCTGGCCAAGAAATTCAGAAATTCAGCCATATGGAAAGACTATTAGTCTCATCCTCTGCACCGTCCCAGAACCTTAAAGACTAATACAGTATTTTGAGTTCAAGTTATTTTTGCTTACCTACTCTTTCTGTTTTGCATCCTTTTATCTAATTACTAGCACCCTAAAAAAAAGTTTTGATCCATTTAAGTAATATGTTGTTATAAAAACAAATTATTATACATCTTTGTATCAATTACAAGACTTATGCATTGTGTGCACTCTAAAAATAAATCGAATAAAAGCATAACTGGTTAGCTTTAAATGGATCACTCCAGTGCTAATTGCTTCATGAAATCCATTAACCTACATGTTTCCCTGTGTCTTTTCTCTTATAGAAAGCAGAGATTGCTATTGCCCCTCTGACAATCACTTTGGTACGAGAGGAGGTCATTGACTTCTCTAAGCCCTTCATGAGTTTGGGCATATCTATCATGATCAAAAAGCCTCAGAAATCTAAACCAGGAGTGTTTTCCTTCTTGGATCCTCTGGCCTATGAGATCTGGATGTGCATAGTCTTTGCCTACATTGGTGTCAGCGTGGTCTTATTCCTAGTTAGTAGGTTTAGTCCATATGAGTGGCACACAGAAGAGCCAGAGGATGGAAAGGAAGGACCCAGCGACCAGCCTCCCAATGAGTTTGGCATCTTTAACAGCCTCTGGTTTTCCCTGGGTGCTTTTATGCAGCAAGGATGTGACATTTCACCCAGGTTAGTTGCAAACCTCAAGTTCATCAGTTTCACAGTAATTCTAAATGGTATACAGGGTATCTCTCTCTATGTTCTTTTCCTGGAGACAAAGCACTATTGAAATATGGGGGCGGGGAGGACTTGCAATTCCCAAATTAACCTGTCTATTCATAGCATTGTCTTCCAAGTTAGCACAAAACGTGCATACATCATAAAGATGAACTTTCTCAATAGGAAAAAAAAATATGCAACCCATTGGAATTGTCAAAAATCATTTAGTATTAACATTTCAGTCAGTGATTTGACAGATGGAAACTAAAAATCTAAATTGTAGAACAGAAATTCATTTTCATCTCGTCTCCTTTTAAAAAACAAACATGTTTGCTATTATTGCTGTTGCTCATTTTAAAAATTAATATTGGGCTTGATTTTCATCCGTGTAGCTAAGGATGAGTTCTGCCATAGAGTTACCTAAAACCTGAGCCAATGTAGTAGATGTCAGATATACATTGTTTTACATAGCAACACACAAACTAAACAGTAGGCATAAACACAACAATGCAAATAAGATGCTGGTTTGATGGAAATGTGTTTCAGTATCTGTGGAGTCCTGACTGCCTTTCTTTGAATACCACTAAGGTATTAATCAGTTACTATATTCACCAAAAATGCACCTAAACTTTTTCTGCAAGAAAAATACCTGATTTTTCTCATAGAGAAAATAGTTGAAGGCATAAGAAACAAAGTATTGAATCTAATTATTGACTGTATATCAGCATCACGAATATATGCATTTTTTTTCACTTTTTAGAAATGTATGCATCTTCTGAAAGAGGCATATTGGCCATAATGTAGTTTGTGTTTCTCAAGATCCAGGAAAATTATAAATGTATTTAAATTCCAATAACACGGGAATCTGAATTAATAGTTTTCAATGAATGAAATGAAATGAGAAAAAAATCAAAGTAAATTAAGTAATGGTTTTTAAAAGCAAGGATTAAGGAAAAATTAAGTTAAAACGAATAGATGTCACTTTTAATAATAACAAGCAATAAGGCGCATTTTAAAGTTGGAAATGCCATGAAGATATGATATGATTCTTCAAATTGTAAAACAAATGTTTTAAAACAATTTGCCACAAGAATTTTAAGTAATTTGATGGCCACGGTGAGATAAATTATAAATATTCTCTGAATTTTTTATTCATCCCGTTCTTACTTTTGCGATGCATTCACACTCACCCACACATTCTTGACAAAGAGAAAGGATGAAGAGAGAAAATTTTATACCAGTATGTAAAGATGCTTTGGGACATCGTTCACTATCCACTCAGCTCAGATATAAAGTATCAAACAAGTAAACAACATTCTCAGTTATGGTCACTGTGACACCAATCCTGGACCCTCATCGGATCCAGCCTCACTTTAACCTATCAAACCCATTCATCCTAGCAAGGCTTTAACTGAATGTAAAAACAAATTTGCTCCTTCTGCCTCAGTAAGGTATCTATCAACTTGGATCAAATCTAAGACTTCACTCATTGTTCAAACGCACTGCTACTTTAGATACCGGTAAAGAAAAACAATGCTGCCAATTCAACCATTATTTGTGCTTTATCTCTTCAACCATTAACAGCATCCTAATTTCAGAGATGCTAAAATAGGTAGGAGGGAGGGTCTCCATGTATTTAATTAAGTATCCTTCTTCTCTATCTGAAGGAAAAGCATGAAGTTCCACGTTTCTGCCATTTCCTTCAGACAATAGAAAGGAAACATTTTTCATATTTTCAACGGCGTTTACATATTAAGTGCAAAACATCATAAATCATCAGATTAGACAAAAATTCTGGAGTCATTCTTAAGTAGTCTAACAGAAAATAAAGCAATGCTTGCAACTGTGATTTTTAAACATGTATGGTGAATTGATGATACTTGTTTATGCTGGTCTGAGAAAGGAAAATGTGCATTATTTTCTCCGTGTTTAGATCCCTCTCGGGTCGAATTGTCGGAGGTGTTTGGTGGTTCTTTACACTTATCATTATATCATCTTATACTGCTAACCTTGCTGCTTTCCTGACGGTCGAGCGAATGGTCTCTCCCATAGAAAGTGCAGAAGACCTGGCCAAGCAGACAGAAATTGCCTATGGGACACTGGACTCAGGGTCAACGAAAGAATTCTTCAGAGTAAGTCAAGAGGAAAACTAACAATGAAATGTTTATCATTTTGAAAGTTAGATAGTTTTTCCTACAATTATATTATGAGCCTTACCTATCACTTAGCAAATACAAGGGTAATGGCTATGTTTAAAGCTAGTCGTTTGACTTGAGTTTTATAATCACTTTAATTTGCAAAAGCTAATTGATTTATTGACATTGCAAGAGGAACCCTTCCTAAGGAATAGTAACAGTGAAAAGGTAATTAAAACAACTTTATATCATAATTTATCCAAAACATTCCAATGTTGATAATACTATGATAATACCGGATCTGGCAAGATTGGATTTATGTAAGTTTGAGGGCTAAGATCATAAAAGTAAAAAAAGTAAAAAATGCTTTTAAAAAGTAAAGTTTGCTGCATTTAAAACCCAAAGCCTTAATTGCAGATTATGCTACTTATATTTGTTTATTTTTCTCTCATTGAATCTGTAACAATAGTTTTCACATAACATATTTGCTTTCTTACAAGATAATAAAAACAAGAACTAAATTCAGTTCTGGGGGCCTCTGTAAGACATTGTGTGGTATTTAGTTTGTGCTGATTTCTTTACTTTGCAGATAAAAATTTTCAAACTACTATAATTGTATTATGTATGTGGATATAATTCTGTTGACTTTCCATCAAGGTAGTGGACTTTTTAAGTAATTTGTTCCATTATGGGGATGAATTTTTTGATCATAGAATTTTTTTTCTACTCTGTTTCTTTTTCAATCCAGAGATATATACTTGGTAATGTCTGATCACAGATAATCATTCTTTTGGTAACTTCAGAACCAAAAAATTAAAAAATAGCCAGAGTGACATTTTAATGAATACTGGGCTAGGTAATAAAATATTTTATATTTATGTCAATTGTTTAAAGACTAGACTATTTAATAGTGTAGGAGACAGAACATATTTCAATCTTTCTCAAGCTTTTATATAAAAGTATTGATTGTTTTTTGTTCATGCCTATATACACGACTTGAGAAATTACATTTTCATTTTAAATTATAAATACATTTTCATTTTAAATTATAAATATTTCTCACTTATCTTTAAAAAATGGAAAACAACAAAATATCTTATCCTTAAGCCAGTTTTAATTTTCATGTACTTAAATTTCAGTAAGATATTACTCCATTAAAAAGTATTTTATTATAATATCTCATACACTACAGATGTGTACATAATATTAAATCAAGAACAAATCATTAAAAAATTCAGTCAGACCTATCCTTGGTCATCATTTAAAACAGAAACCAGGCAATTAACAATGTACTTGTCAACAATTGAGAGTGTTGTTAGTAGATATAATCTAAAATATTTAAGTTAGTTACAAAGTTTTGTAGATTTCCTTTAAAAATAGAATAGTCATGAAAGTAGATTTTATTAACAATATTCTGTGAATAAACTTAATTAACCAAGGATATTTTAGTTTACTGAACACATTCCCATTTCTAAAGCTTAATAATAGAAACTTTACTGATCTAATAATTTCAGTACCTTGCTGTCTGTTGGTTTGTAACTGCTTCCACCCAAAAGCAAGCAGGTAAAATTCAGTGATTTAGCCTAGAAACCATCATGCCTATTCCTTAAAATAAAATGCAAGTCTGTGCTATCACTTGCACTTTACTGAAAAGTGATGACTGATTGTCATTTAAATGAAAATACTTGCAGGCTCATCATTCTGCCTTGAGTGATAAAGGGAAATGTCATATTGATTCCCTGAAAAAACTTCAAAAATTACTCACCGTAAAGCTCTTTAGCGACAAGCACATTGAAAATGTTTATTTCTAATCTTTATATTATTTTTTTAAATGCTCCATTTCAAAGAACTGGTGAGGTAGATAAGAGAATGTTTTGATAAGAAATGTAGGAATGAAGCAAGCTGCTTCCTCAATTTACGTCTTCCATCCAAGCTGTGCAAGCACCATGCCTTATTTCCTTTCTCTCCCGCCTAACCTCAGTTTTAAAATTGGAAGATTTTTATAATATAGGTATTTATTGTTGCAGAACATTCTGAACTCTAATGGGACAAGAAAATAATTTCCTCTGGCAGCACACTTCCAGGAATGCATAAATGTGGGTTCTCTGATACAAATCTCCTTCATTTCCTTGCCTGTTTGCTTCCCTCCTGTCCCATACATGATGACCCGGTTTAAAGAAACCATTTGTCTGACGGGTTGAGGAAGCCAGAACGTGAAGGATATTTTTGTACCTGTCAAAAATGTTTTCTCGTAGGAACACAAGTAATGGCAGATCTATCAGCTCCGCTAAGCTGCCCCAGGCAGTGACCTATACTCAGCACCTCAAAAATATGCATTAAAAAAAAGTCACGGTTATAATCAACTAGAAAAAGAATTAGGCCATCAGGGAAAATTACTTAGGAATTCAGCTGTTGCCTTGGTATTTTACTATTAGGAAACTTAATATGCTTCATGTTCTGTGTACCATGGTAAGTGTAAACATGAAGGCATTTACAGAGTCTGTACTTTTCACTTAACGGCAGCCTCGTTGTTTTAAGTACTTTTACATTATTACACATCTAATTCAAACACAGTGATTTTCGTTTCTATGCAGATTTTACTCCGTGCCTGTTTCAGTCAGTTATCAGTGAAATCACGAATGCATAAAAGATGTGGATTACTAGCTAAGGGTTTATAACCTTATCAAATAATGCATAGACGAGCTCCCACTGGAGGGAACATCAGTCTTACTGCATAACCAGCTAGAAGGATGAAGTCATTTGCCCGATAGCAACGTAAACATAAACTATCATGTATAATATGTGAATGCAATTTTCATTCAAAGCAGAGATGGCGGAATACTTCATTTTTGAGAAATTAAAGGGACAGCATGTTTTTAAAGATCCAAGAATCGTTTTAACTGCTGAAATAGTGCTTTCAATCAGAGTTCCCCGTGCATTGAGTTTCACAATAAAGATGAAACAAATAGGTCTGAGATTAATTTTCTAATTTCAGAAAGTAATGGTTTTTATGCTGTCTTTTCACTTCCCACATCTGATTTTTAAGCAGATACTACAGTGAAAGGTTTTAGGGACTTAAATACTCCATTATCATTGTGCTTGATACAGTGACACTTGATACAGAGACCTACAGAGTTTGCTGTGTCTGCAGAAATTTTCTCATTTTAGCTTGTCTCAATATTTGCTTGCCCTGACTCCCTAGTAGTCACTCTCTTGCAGTCACAGATAAGGAACAGGGACATTATTTCCAGTCCCTCGCCTCCTGACTTCTCCTTATCCCTCTGCCATGTGTATGTGATCGTATCTCAGCCATGTTCCTTTAAATAGGAATCAGAATTTCTAAACGAGTATGGTGACAAAAACGGGCTAACTTTTTTTCCCCAAAAAACTTGCTTCCATCTTTCTATTTTGTCTGTATTTTACAATTTCTTATTTTACCTAAGGCCTCCTAAGTTTAGCATTACAATTCTATAGATTCCTCTTTCTTCCAGATTTTAAAGGATTCAACTTCTTTTGTATTTAAGGTATATATTTAAACAAATGTAGCAGCAATTTTCGGCACGTTGATATTATAGTAATGGGTTATTAAAAATATCAATGACCTAAAGATACTTCATTCTTTTACAAAGGAATCATTTTCTTTCATAGTATCCTGCATTCTATAGTTAAATTATCTTTATAAGTACCAAGTCCTAAAAATACTCCTTTTCCATTTTTTTGTATTAGTTTTATTTAACTGCCCTGTTCCTTTAATAAGCTTCTTAATTGTCACTGGAAATTTGCCAAGTAACTAGCATATATATTTCTCATACTCTTAAAAGATTTCAAAAAATACTTCAATTAAAATAATATTCATGTTGATTTTGCTTCTCTTTTCAAAGTGGTATACATAAAGTATATAATGTTTATGGAACTCTAAACTTTTTAGGGTGAAACTCTCAGGTCAAGTTATAAATATGTTAAAAAGTGGCCATATGGGTATAAGATTTTTTTTTACCAACACTTCTCTAAATTGGAAATTATCAGAATAGATATTTAGTGACAATATGTATCAAGTGACCCAGAGAGGTTATATTTTTCAGAATTGGCACAATGAAAGAGTTCCTCTTCTGGAACAGAACTCTATTTTGAGAGATGGTATGAATGAGACCTGGCAATACAGCATTCCTAGTGGCTCCCATGGCTGCTGAGGGTCCTGAATCCAAGTTCTCCTCTGTCCTGAATAAAAAGAAAAAGTAGAATCATTACAATTGAAGTGCCGGCATGGATTTTTGTAAATATGGAGATTTCAATAGCCAAAAGTAACTTGTTATTACCTAAACACACATACACACACACACACACTCACACACACACACACACACACACACACACACACCCCATAATCTTTATATCACAACTTTTTAAAAGTTCTAATAGCATAAAAACATTTCATGGAGCACTATAAGATGTCTATTCCCCCCGCCCTTGATATTTATCAATATTTGAATATATGACAACCATAAAATATTTTGGGGGGTGTTCAAATATGAAAATCACTTATCTTTAAAGTTTAATGTATGTTCTACTTGGAGATTTTGTCAGAAAAAGTCTAAAAATATCTTGATTAACCAAGAGTTTGATTCTTGTGTTGGTGGATTGGGTTTGTAAACTATTCACCTCCTCCTTTGGTGCTCAACTACTGACTTAATAAGAACTGTAATTTTTACACAACTTATTAGAAGGATTTGCATTAAAACTTTGAGGCATGAAAAAAGACTAAAATGACAACTCTCCTTTTTTGTTATAAATCAAATACAGTATTAAAAGAAGTTTTATAAACTTGAAATCATTTCTCATCTGTTTTTTTTAAGTTTACCATGATATAAGGCACAATTTTAAATGTTCAACTCTCTCCAGGGCCTTCTACATTTAAAAATAATAATAAGTTGCTATTTTAGCAGTTGAGTATAGTTAACTATTATGGCAAAAGATGCAGCCTTCTTCAAATGTCTGTCATTTCAATGATGTCCTTATTTAGTTTCAAAAGACAAATCTCCAAGTTGAAGAGCATAATGTTTCTATGATATTACTCTGTGGCACATTGGAGTTTAGAGGGCAATGGAAAGATACTAAAAGACTTTATCCTTATCTTGGTTCGGTCAATATTAACATGTTGTTCCCTTCTTTCCTGTATTTAATTTTATTTTAATTTCCTCCAGAGATCAAAAATAGCAGTGTATGAAAAGATGTGGACCTACATGCGATCAGCAGAGCCATCAGTGTTCACTAGGACTACAGCTGAGGGAGTAGCTCGTGTCCGCAAATCCAAGGGCAAATTTGCCTTCCTCCTGGAGTCCACTATGAATGAATACATTGAGCAGCGAAAGCCATGTGACACGATGAAAGTGGGAGGAAATCTGGATTCGAAAGGCTATGGAGTAGCAACGCCCAAGGGTTCCTCATTAAGGTGGGTGGAATAGTATAACAATATAACATGTGTTGTTATAGTATTCCACCTTCCCTGATGTCCCTGAGAGAATTATTTTGTTTTGTGTGTGAACATGGTATGTTTGTTTGTTTCTTTTTCTTTTTCTCCATCTCATATTTTTTGGTCAACAATCAGGTAATCTTTTAATTTTAGAATAATTAATCATAGTTGACATATATCTTTGAAGGCCATATAAAAACCAAACTGGTTGAACACTAGCTGCTTCTAGTGGGCCTAAGACACGGGTAGTATGTGCTTCTATATGTCATTGACTTTTTGGCCACCAAAATCCACACAATCATTGTGTCAGTAATAATTCTACATTTTATCTTTTTTTTTTATTATGCTTGATTGCTAGTTTCTGAGTAAGAAGAAATCAACCTCTTCCTGGCAAACCACTCTTTTTTCATCTCAATGTTTCATTTATTATGACATCGTACTATTTTAGGTTATCCTGAGGTTGTATTCATGCTAAGTTTGAAATCACATCTCTTCATAAACGCAATCATGATCAGAGGGGAAAACGGGTTCTGGTTTTATAGTACTTACTCAAGTCACACTCCCACCCATTTCCATAGGGTGTATGGCGTAAGTAAGGTCTGTAAAATTAGACCCAACAACAACCCAGTAATGTCTGCCGATAGACTCTTAAAATGTGATCCATGAGCAAAGCATTGCACATATAGATTAAAAGTGAGACTTTCATTCTTATGGAAATATTGGTTAAATCTGCCCTTTTCATCCTTTTGGTCCTGGACATAGAAAATTCACATGTTTGTGTCCAGGAGGCAGAATTTCCTATTTTCCTTAAGCAATAAAGGCTGCTGTTGAATCGATGGGCTAGACTCTACCAAAAGTGATTGAGGGATCTTAGTGTGGCTTAGGAGAAATTTATAGACAGTCCAGATTCAAGAGAAAATCAGGATCTTTGCTAAAGGACTTAACCAAGAAGCTGGTCTTGACAATGATGTCTCTGGTAAGCCATTGAAAAATAAAGGTAATGAGACCTATACTATTGCCCAGCCCAAATGAAAGCAATATAAACATTTTATAATTGTTTTCATTGGTTTTAAAGAGGGAACTGCAGTGTGCTTTGATATGTGTGTTGGGTGGGGGAAGGGTTGAAAAAATACAACAAACAAATACCAGTAATGGAAAGGATTATGTTAACCCAGTATTTTGTGTTTGCAGGCAACACTGTAATAATGAGTGAGGGGTTTATGGCATGTTACGAAAGGAACAGTTTTAAAAGGAGAACAAATCCAGCCAGGAAAGAGAAATTTGGGTGTGGACTGTGGAAATTCTGAAGTCAGGTTTTTTTTTTAACATACATCCTATATGAAACCAAAGAAATGTGCAGGGAGAAAGCCCAACGAATATATGATACATATTAAATTCTACCCAAATAAATTTCAACCATTCAGCTTAAACTGGCGTGAGGAAGTTTGGTCTTTGAGGGTCTATTTTATATGATGCAATGTGAAAAATATGCCATTTCACTGAGGCCAACCCATTAGCAAATACGTCTGTGGAAGCCATAGTTTTGAGAGCACCTTAGTGCAATAAATTAAAAGGAAATAGGAGAGGGGAAAGCAAGGGTGGCTGATATTCAGATCAGTGTTCAGACTATTGATTACATTCACTGGATGTCGCGTTTGCTCTTAATTAGTTCTCTGTGGACGTAGCTGCCTTGTCCTCTGTCTTGTGTCTACTGATAAAGTCAAGCTCCAGGGACTGAATTTGGCCCTCAGATTCGGGAGCGTCTGACTCCCATTGATAGCAAGGGAGTCCCCTCTTAAATGTGCCACTTTGTCAAATCCACACTACGGGGATTGTTTGGAGGAAAGCTGAAGGGCTTCATCTGTCCAGAACTGTATAATCATCAGCCATTGGCTTCCCCCTCTTTTCCTGTCCTTCCCTGGATCTTGTTAATGAGGCAATTGTTAAACTCAGCTTCCCGGATGGAGAGTTTGTTTATGCACTTTGTTTTATATATGCCACAATTTCCTGGGCAAGCTGGCCCCTGCATGCCAAAACCACAGTCATTTTGTCCCGTTTTCGAGAACGCTGCAAGGACACTGAAGGCTAACCAGTGTTCACCGTATCCCTTGCTTCATCCTTCCCCAGCCTCCACCCATATAAGCTCTTTAGGCTTAAATTCTCATTCTAACTTGACTAAGATTTTTCTGTGTCAAATGAGACAAACTAATATAGGGATAGACTGATAGGTATCTAATCTATAAATAGTTTCGTTTGTAGAAGCAAATTCAAAATAATTGCATTCATCAGAGCAAGATTCAAAGGACATACCTGCAGCAAAGTGTCTTTGAAATCTTCCTGTCTTGTTCAGTTCCATGGAGACTTAGATTTGTTTTCCCTAGGATCTATCTTTTGTTAACCAGGTCTTTAGGTTAATAGCTCTAGCTATAGTGAGACTTGTGCATTGTCATTGATGATGGCTTTCTCACAAACTTTACTGTTTTGATTAATTAAGCAACACATGAGACTTAAGGAGAAAGAAAACAGTCATCATTCCCTCTATGTCAGCTTAGCCAGAGAATGCAAACAAATAACTGGGAATGTTCTGTTGGTGTAGGGAGTTTTAAATTCCCAAGTTTTACAGTTTGTTCAAAGTGTTTCAGAATAAATGTCACAGAAAAGTGGAAGAATATTACATATAATCAGATGAAAAGTCAAGACTTGAGTCTTTCATGTAGACTAAAACAAATGCAATCAGGATCATCACAAAGAATGTATCTGTGACTAAACTAAAAAAGATCATAAGAGCTATGACTAGCACCTGTCTTTATGGAGGAGTGATTACAGAGCTCTTTGCTGTTCAGAGACTTTATTTCGGACTAGTGCTTGCTGGACAGAAACGTTGGAACGTAAAGTCATTGATCTGTCACTTACCAATAACAATGCCTATAAATTATTGGGTTATTGTACTTTGGCATAGAGTCTTCAGTGTCTAGGTGACAGAACAATGCCAGGTATATTGATCCTGAATCTTCTGTTCATATACACAGTACTATTTACACTTTTTTCAAGGCCATGGTCATCCTCCTCCTTATTTTCCCCAATACTCTTGGCAATGCAAAACTATCATGGAAGTCTTCTTTGACTGAGACATTTGTAAAAGTTGTGTAAAAATATATACTTTAGAAGGTAAGCAATGAAATGTAACATTTAGATGAAAGCAAAAGTATATTTTGACTTTAGTATCAATATAATCAGCCCTATCAGTATTACTATATAAATCTGCTATAGTAGACATCTATACTATGGTATTTATAATATAATAATGCTGTATATTTTACTATCAAAATACTATCATTTTTGCTATATTATCTATACTGTACTAGTTACTAGATGATTGACTTTCCTATGCAATAAATAAACCTGTTTAAGGTTGTTTAGAATAAATCATAATTTGATGATACAGATTTACTATTAAGATTTACTACTAAGATGAGAATAACCCTTTTAAAGATATTCATATCTAGCACTTATAAATAACTCCAGGGAACAAACCAGTGATCATATCTGAAGATTTCCTTGGCCTTTGTAAGGATTTATGTACTTGAGCCTCATGTTAAAAACTGTGGTTTCCTATTTTTTTTTTTATTCAACTGTGGTCATTCCCAATCAAACCTTGTCTTTTTTTAAAGACGTTTGCAAGACCGTGTCTAAAATAAAACAAATATTCTGTCATACACATGCAAAGAGATGTTTCAAAAGAAGGCAATTCTAATAGAACTTCCATCAGGGGAGGAGACCTAGAAAAAATGAGACCCAGTTGGACTTGGCAATGCCTGGTTGCCAGAATTCATGGCAACAAGAACTGATCCTTTGAAACCAGGCACATCATGCTTAATTTACAACAGGCAACTCTGAGTCCTGCAGCAGTAGTGTGGTGGGGGAGAAAGTACTAAAAATGGGAATTACAATCCACATCTTCCACTTTTTTTTTTTTGATATTTAACAAAATCATCGGCCTCACAAGACTCTTGGCCAAAGTCTAGAGCTGTATCAGAGTCGGTAGAGTCCCCTGTAGGTCACATTATTTTTCTTCCACTTTGGAGAATTTGCTAGGGCATATGTGTTCAACTTATTATTCAAATTTATGTATGAAAAATGTATAATCCCAAGGAACCATTTTCACGTGTAAAATTTGTGAGACATACTTAGTCCAGGGGTACTTGAAAGAGTAAGAAAAAATGAGTTTTCTGGATATTGTGTGCGAGAATAAAGTTGTAGTCTATTTTGGATATTAGAAACAAGTTAACTATTAGCATTTAACGCAGACCAGAACAATCTAAAAGTGCAGGAATTTAAGGCTAAGTACTGAACTTTTAACATGTCTTCTGGAAATGAGTTGCAGTGGGTTAGTAAGCAAATATTTTTTAATTATGAAAAGAGATATATTTTGCTTATGAATATCCTAAACATATCCTTTAATATGTTTCATAGTGCCATATTTAAAAGTGCTACAGATAACTTAGATTTTTGTAATTCCGTTATGTTTTGAAATATACTAGGCTAGGGATTACACAAACACACACAACAAAAATAGATTGGACCTTTTCACATTCACACAGACACATACTTACATAGATATCCAGTTTGCTATCAGGGATGCTGATGTTTATTGTGATTACCAAATATTTTTGCATTCACAGAGATATCACATGGCAAAAATATCAATGCTACAAGTATCCCAAGGGAAAATAATTGCAAGGTAAAATCCATATATTTCCTCTTTCTCTTTCTGGATATCAATGACAATAGGTGGCATAAAACTTTCCACTGCCATTTGAAGTTCTAGACTTCATTTAATTCTTTCCTATTTACTTAAAAGATGACTAAAATTACAGGTCCCCATGAAGCAGAAAAAAAATGTTACTTTTTTCTGCATTTCTTTAAGACTCCCCTGGCATTTTACATTTTTGCCACCTTTCCCATTCTTTAAAAAAAAA